GATCCAGAGGACTGCGTAGGGCTGAAGCAGAGAAGAAAGAGAGGAGAAAATGATCTGACCTGGGGTCCAAGGCCTGGTGGGCCAAGGAAACCGGAGTCGAGAAGGAAAGGCAGGGGGAGAGAGAGCATGAGTGCTTTGCAAGGGTCAGGGCCCTTCAGCAACTGTGCAGGCCAAGGGCCCAGAGTGCAGGGAGCCCTTAAAGCAGTGAAGACCTAAAGGGTCACAGTTGAGGGCTGACAAGTCCTGAGACAGAAGAGCAAGTAAGACAGGCTCAGGGAGTCTAAATAAGGGAAAGGCCAGAAGTGAAATGTCTTGCTTAAGCAAGGATCAGGGCTGGAAGCTGGCTGCTTAGGGATGAGCAAGACAGTGAAATACCAAGGGCTTACTCTGATCTCTGAGTACAGCCTCCCATATCTTACCTAGTCATCAAGGCATGGCAGGCCAAATGTAGGGCAGTGGCCTGAGAGAATAGTGGGGCAGAACAGGGACTGGAGTGCCCTCTAGGACAGCACTTCTCAAGCTGTGTGTTGTGGCCCAAAAATGGGTTGCAAGAATATATGAAAGGGTCGTGAACAAACTTCAAAAATGGATTCTCTTTTAAAGGGGAAAAATGTGGGAAACCATGGATTTTGTCTCGCAGGCTGTCTGAGTTGCAGCCTGCAAAGGGCTACTTGTGGGCCCCCCCATACCCACACATCCACCCCCTGCCCCACACAAGGTAGGGCTGGGGGCAGCAGGTAGGGAGTGAGGGGCACTAGCAGGCCAGGGGGTTGTTTTCTATTTAAAGTATTAACTGGGTCAGGACTGGCCATCAGTGTTTACAAATGGGTCCTGGTACAAAAAAGTTTGAGAACCACTGCTCCAGGGCAGTGCTTCTAAACATTTTTCTGTACCAGGACCCATTTGCAAGGATCAGTGGCTTGTCATGACCCATACCCCCCTGCCCTGCCGCAGCCTTGGCTCCAGGCCACCCGGCCACCTTCCCCCAGTGCCATCAGGCACCTTCTTCCCCCCCCACATACACACACTTATCCCCTCGGTCCATGCATACATGCTGCTTCCCCCACCCTGACAGTCCCCAAGCCCTGGCCCTCCAACCCTTGCTCCCCATATACTTACCTTCATCTGGCAGCTGAGGCTGCTGCCACAACCCTGCCTGGCTGTGTTGTAATCATCCCCTAAGCAGCCCCTTGCAGGCTGGCATGCTGCCAGCCTGCAAGGGGAAACCTGCGCTTTTGCGTGCTTTTCTGGCGCTTGCTTGCACCCCTTTGAAATATTCTTGAGCAGGATTATATTTAGAGCCCTGGACATGGTAGTACCGCTTAAATACCAAATAGATGGAATAAGATCTGGTTTTAAGGGTGTGCAACCAGATCCTTGCAAGAGAATGGGTTTTTGTTTGTTTGTTTGTTTCTGCCCAGATTAGACCAAAATACTCCTTTTTCAAATTGTTCTTAGCGGGGTGTGCCACTTGGAGAAGAAAGCCATATGAACGTGACCCTGTCTTGAACAGAGCCAGACCCCCTCAAGTGTACTGAAACTTCTAGAACATTCCACATTTGGGAGGAGTTGTAATGCTTATTTTGCAAGAATGGGTGATCTACAGTGAGAGGAAGCACAC